AAGTGAAGTCATCAACAAAAGCAGGACTAGTTTATCCATTGAGAAGGCCTGGCTTGTTTAATGCAGCAGCAAGAAATCTTGCTGGAGAGCAAAGATGTGAAAACCATCAGTGAGAAACTGGAAAAGGTTAAGCCAATGGGATTTTTGATTTCAGTGAGAAGTCATCACATAGGAAATGATTGTGTGCTTGGGTCAAGGAGACTTGTTGTTTTAATTATTGTCAGGAATAATCCTCTGCTTTTGTGTCTTGTGAACAGGGTGCTTTCCCATGTTGCTTGTGACAAAGAAAGTCTCATTCTGTGATCACCAGGTCTGTGCAAAACAGAATTCTCGGCACCAATATGAGTATCTTCACCATCCTATTGAGTTTGGCAGATCAACTTGCACAGGTCAGATGTAGTAGCTTTTGTGTGCTTGATAACCAAAACTAAAGTAGAACTGCCTTAATCAAAAGGGATTAATAGTTTTCTCCCTGAGCAACAGCATTTCTTTGATTTGAGGGGGGGACAACTGAAAAATGTGACAGTAGTGAAAGGAAGGAAAAAGGAAGAGTCAGGTGCTCTTCCAGTGGCAGCCTCCCTCCTCCTCCTCCTTTCATGCCTGCGCCTGTGGTGGCTGTCGATCGGGGTTTATCCTTGTGCGAGCTTTCTGAGAGATGTTTTCATTATCGTGTCCATTCAGGTCTCGGTCGATCAGCGGAGCATCCTCTGGGCTCTCCACCAGTCCTCTCAGCAGTCTGAGGGTAAGTGGTGCTGCTTCAAGATCTGTTGGTGCAGTTCACTCACGTGCTGATGCTTTCCGCGTCCGTTGCTCCACAGTCGTGGCTCTTAGCTGGGATATGTTCTGTTTTTCCTTGGCAGCTTGTAAATTGTCATGGGTGGTGAGGGAACTGTTATTTACAAATGCAAGCAGAGAATTCCTCATACGTGTTCCTTGCACTGTTAGCAGGGATCTCACTGTGCCCTTGCCCCTTTTCAGTCTCACAAGGACATAAAATAACATTGCTCTGACTAAACACTGCCCTGTCCAGCTGAGATCTGCATACAGTGTGGCTTGAGACCAAATAATCAGGAACCATTTCACAGCTGCCTTCATTTAGGTCACAGTAGAGCACTCTTCTCTCTTTCTGCAATGGGTGGCTGCAACGTGGGTGTGCATTAGCAGGGGTAAAGAGGAAGGAAAGAGGTTGTGCCTGGTGTGTGCAGTAACTGTGTATCACCTGTCACTCCGTATGTATCACACACCTGTTCTGAGTTTCATCTCTCTACTGGGTTTGCACATGGGCACCTGGAGTTGAAAGAGGTGGTCCCATTCTTGGCACATCTCAGTTTGTCTGCGGCTTGAATGGTTCTTCCCCTTCCTCACCTCCCTACAGCATCGTGCTTTTCACACTGCAGGGCAATCAGAACAATCCCGGAGAGATGGCATTTCTCTCTTCTTTTTTCTTAGTTACTTTCTTTTTGATTTTTTTAATTTGTTTTATTTTGCTGTTCCTCTGTTGTACTTTTCTTTCTGTTGTTTTCCTTTGCTGGCATAGGGTTGGTTAATATGACAAAGCCTGTTATGACACGGTTGTTCTTGCTGCTGCTCCGCTGCTGTTGTTGGTTATGCTGTGTTCCCAGCTTACTGCATCTCTTGTTTCTTGTTTGTTTGCTTTTGTTTCTTGGCAAAATCCCTCCCCAGTACCCCTTCACCTCCATCTCCTGTGTCTCCTTGTGACATGGTGCATCTTTGTGGCTCAGATGGATTTTCTTCTGGCTTTCCTTCCCCTGCTCGCCCGCTCTGTGCGTGTTCCCCTGGTTTGGATGTGCACGGACACTCCGCGTCTGTCTCGTAGCCTGTCAGAAAGTTCTTCATCCCTCTCAGACCTTCCTTTCTCTCCCTGACCCCAAGTCTCCTTGGACCCTGATGCGTGTAGGAACGCCTCCAGGCCTGGACACGTGTTCCAACCAAAGGCAGCACTTCAGCCCAACTCAAAGACGCAGACTTTGCCATCCAAGAGCAAATTGGCTGAGAAACCACTCCAGTCTACGAAATCCAACCCAGTCGCTCCCAGCAATGCCAAGGCCCCCTCTTCCCAGAAGAACCCTGTGCAGAATGCTCAGGGCCGCTCGCCTGCTGCCAGCTTTAACCCACAGCCGGCTGTTCTTAAAGCACAGACCAACCCTATGTCTCCTGTTAGATTGCTCCCTTCTAGTACTGACCCAAGCACCAAATCTATCCCCATCATACAGGTCACCGCTCACCCCTCTCCAAGGGCAATCCCTTCGCTACCCCCAAGGGGACACCTGTTATACACCAAAGGAGAGCCCAGCAGGCCCACCCAACCCAACCCCACCATCCAGCCCCAGCACTGCAGGAATGCCCTGGAGGACACGGCTTAACTCCAGCACGAATAGTTCCTCGCTTCCGTCGTCAGAAATTACGAGGTAAGTACGCATCCAAACGTACAGGTGGTTCTTTCTCATGTGAAAAAATACACATGCTGTTCTTTCTCATGTGAAAAAGTCCTAGAAAATGTGTTTGGGATGACATTTAAAGAGACTTAGCTCTGTGTGCTTTAAACCTGCATACTTCCAACCGGACTTGGTATTATAAAGTATGCTGCAGAGGGGAAAAAAAAGGCAGTCTCTCACTGGCAGGTCTTTCGATTTCTGACTTTCCCTACTAGAATATGGCTGATGTAAGTGGAATTTCCCCTGGGTTTAGTTTGGTCTAGCAATTCTTTGGCTGTGTCTCATGGCTGACAGCATCTTCTCTCCCCTCAAAACCACACCTGTCAGAGATGCTACCTTCAAGTTCTCAGTAGTGTCTCCCATTCAGATTTTATGTCCCTGAATTCCTCCTTTAGCCTGTTTAACTTAAAAGGTAGCATCAACAAAGTGCACTGGTAAAACAATAAGCAAAATCAAACATTTACTGATATGATCTGTGTGAAAAAACAGCAATTTCATTTTATGGTGAAACCGCTACCCGATGCTGAAAGAAACTGTGAAGTCGGACTGCTGTCAGTGGAAAGCCTGAACTGTGTTTTGCATGGTGTTGGCATCTTAGTACTGAAATTTGATTCCTTTGTAGGATGACCAGAGTTCACTCATTATATAGACACCCTGAATGGGACTCAGGAATGGGACAGTCTTCGTCCCGGCCCTCTGTGTAGGAGTGGATTTCACTCGCTGATGGATTGGAGGTCTGGTGAAATCCACAGCTTGCTTTAAAAGCAAGATCTCGTGATTGTACCATCGGCCCAACAGGACACCTTTAGAAAAGGAACATTTTAAGTCCTATGACATCAAAGGAGTTGAACTTGAGTGGCAAGGAACTGAAATCTGTGTGTTGCCAGGCTCTGCATATTGTCACATGAAATGAATAGTTCCCTGGAGCCAAACCAGAGATGCGTCCCCTGACTTCTACGGGCTTTATATATGCAGTATTAATTGGTGTACTGGCTTAGTCAAAAGAGTTACTGTTGCTCCTGATTTTTCATCGTTGGTGACACATGCTGCCAGACTGAGACCGTGTGCTCTGTCATTTTACCAGTTTTCACTAAGTGAAATGTTGTTCTGGATGTTCTCTGACAGGGGGAGTTGGAGGGGCTGGCGGCCCCCACAGGGAAGTGCTCCCCTGTCTGTGAATCCCTGCGGCATCCCTTGGGAGCTGCAGCCCGGGCACGTGTGTTTGCCAAGGCTGCTCCTGGCACGGCTGGGGACAGGACAGGATTTGGGCAGGAGCTGTGTGGTGCCCTCAGCACGTGCCCTTGTGCAGTCCAAAGAAAGGGAGTTTTATTGCATTCCCAGGAACTGCTCCAACAGCTGTGGACTTGCCCCTGCCTTCTCAGGGTAAGGATGCGGTGACAGCAAGAAGGCTGTTGGTGGGATTGGAGGGCACTTGCTGCATGTTGGTCAGATGTGTAACCTGTGGAATGGGTGTGTTTCCTGGGAGAAAACATTCTGGAGTGGCAGAATGGTTGCCACAGACACCACGTGAGTGCCACACCACGGCGTGAGCCTTCAGGCCCTGCGAGTCCTCACCCAGACTTGGTGAAGTGTTGAAGTGTGAACTGATTGCTGGGAGTAAGGATGTGTCTGGTAAGTGGCAGTGCTGCCCACTGAGCCGCTGTTTCTGGAGAAGAGGGTCCTGTCTGACAGGCAGCAGGCAGTGGACATGGCTCAGTTGCCACGTCTGCTATGGATGGGCACAGAACTGGACAGCTGTGCTTCTGGGAACAGTGGTGGCTCGTGGCTGAGGTGCTGCTGCTGGAGAGGGCAGTGGTGGTGTCTGCTGCTGGGCAGATGGCCGGGAGCGGGTCATATCCAGGGAGCAGTGCAGGCAACACGAGCAGGATGTTGGAGGACGTGGGATTTCCTTGGAAGTTCACCTGTTTGTTAGCTCTCCTCCTGTGGCTTGGAGTCTCTTGGGTAGCTTGTGCCCTGTGTCAGGTGGTGAGGTTTCTTTGGTTTGGTTTTGTTTCTCTCGATCAAACGAAAAGGGTGGGTCTTACCAGGAAAGATTCAGGAGGTTTTCAGAAACGTTGGAGAGAGGTGGTCTAATGTTGGCGGCAAGTGAATACATTTGATAAGCTGTGGGGTTCTGCAGTTCAGTTGTTCTAAATTAGGCGATTACCTTAGTGAGCAATTGGAGTCATTATACAGTGCGGAGTGCAGAAGGATTTTTTCTGTCAGCTTTTTTCTGTGATGGTTTTTTAGTGTCTTTTAAAGCTCTCCTACAACCTCTCCACCAGTGTGCTTTGCTGCACTTGCTGTAGGGGCTGGAGGTGTTTGCTCTCTGCTCGGTCGGTCCCCGCCTTCCCCTGAATTCCCTGGCACTGCAGGTAATCACAGCTCATCTTGGCTTTTCTGGGGCCCTTGCTGAAGGGTTTCTAAGTGTGGCCCTGAGATTTTCTGGAGTTGGACTTGACTGCTGTTTCAGGACATGCCTCACTGGGCCGTCTGTGTTTTAACACTTCCCAGGGCAGGAGAATTGCAGCAGAAGAAAGCCAAGGCAGCCCAGAGCCTGGCCTAGGCAGGTCCAGGCCTCTGGCAAGCCCAGGGCTGTCTGCTTGGCATTGCTTGTGCCCAGTTCTGGTCCCGCACTGTCTGCTCAGGGCTTGTTCCTCACCGTTCAGCTGCAAATGAGAGGGAGGGGATCCAGAGGCAGAAAATGCCCCTGCTGCTGGGGCTGCAGTGTCTGCGGTCCCTGGGGGCTGGGCAGGACTTGGCCCTGCTGCCTGCATGCTCTGCAGTGCCCAGGGAGGGATCCCAGAGGTCACCCCCATGCGTGCTGTGTGTTTCAGAACACTTGTTTCATTCCTGCATTCCTTTAGTTGATGTTTCCTCAAAATTTGAATGTGCTGTAGAGTTTTTAGCTGACAGCTGTTGCTTTCACAGAGAGATTTTCAAGTCAGAGAAGAGGTTTGGGAATTTGTTGCAAGAATAGTTTAGAGATTCAGCAAGCCAACCCTGAGAACGCTTGGGATTGTTGGCACTTGCCACTAAAGGTGGACTATTGAAACTCTCAGACGTCTGAGTTTAGGTGCCAAGAAAAGAAGCTTCCTGTGTGGATCTAAGTTGCTGTGTGGTACTTTCTTGGTTTTCGGTACATGATGTAACAATATGTAATCTATGAGAGTGTTTTCAAAACAATTCACTTAATTGGAAGATTTATAAAATTGGGGTGGTTTTCAGGCTGCGTGTGTGTCTGTAAATGTACGTGCACGCAACCGAAACATAAATGCACTCTCGTGGAGGTGAGTGGGATCCGGTCTGATCCGAGCTCTGGTTTAAGGGGCTTTATCAGAAATTCTGATTCCTTAAAGCGTAAGCACTGTGTGAGAGTCCGGCTGTGGAGGATAGAGATGAACTCCAAAGATGTGGTTTTGGTGCTCTCCTGCCTGCCAAGCATTGTTCTAATTCTGCTCTAATTCTTAGTTAGTCTACACGGGGAAAGTGTATACTGGGCCGGGGAGTAAAAGTGAAGCTAATTAATCCTCACTTTTTCGCCCATTTCTTTGGCGTGATTGGTGGGGGAGGCTGCTTCGTGTTCTTGAATGGCAGGAATAAATTCCCTCGGTCAGTTTGCAGTGGGAGTAAAGAACAGCCTCTTAACTTTTGGTCCCTATGTGCATTAATTCACCAGACAACAAAACACGGCTCTAAGAATATTGCTCTACTCTGCAGTGAATCGAGGTATTTTCAGTCCAGCTGCTTTAGCCCAGGCTGCAGTTTTATGGCCTCTTGTCCATCAAGCCAAGAGCTCCCTGTCTGTCACCTGTGCACTTTTTGTGCTCCACTTTGTGAGAAGAGGGGAAATAGAGTTCATTAAGGAGATAGATAGAAGGCACTAAAAATGTGAATGAAGTTTAAATTCAGCCCTTCTTAAATTCAGTCTGCTGGAGGGAGGGAGGAGGGAGGAGGGTGCAAGGACCAGCACAGGATCAGAGCCTGCCGAGGCTCAGCCGGGGAGGGTCTGCAGGAGCCAAAATGCCAGCTGAGGGCATTCCCCAGGGACTCCCAGATCCTGACATCTCTGCCCAGGTAAGGAAAGCTGACAACTTTGCACGGCTGTGCCGAGCCAAAGCACGCTCCTCTCCAAAAGCCAGCAACTAGGGAGAACATCTGGGGAGCAACGGGAAGAAAAGCTGCTGATTGAATTCACAGGTGGGTTTTCAAATGCATTTTATCCAGGCTGGGATTTTCCCTACCTGTCCACCAGCGATTGGCCTCGTTTTTACCCCGAAATGTCCATTCCCTCCCCAGCAATGTCCCTTTTGTCCCCTCCAGAATATCCCCCCCCCTCCCCCATCCTCCCTCCAGTCCGTTTTGTCCCCCACCCCTGCCGTGAGTGACGCCCCGGGAGCCCGCAGGGGCGGGCGGAGCCTGGGGTGGCCCGAGCCCGCAGCTCCCGGTGCCGCCGGCTTCTCGGGAATGCCAGCGGGACACAGATCCCTGAGGCGGGCCCCCGCTGGCGGGCCACTGCTCCCTGCGCCGGGCCACCGAGCCCCCCCGTAGCCGCGCTCCGTGGCCAGGCAGCCCCGCTGGGTTCATCGGTGGGCGGTGCCGGTGTCGGTGCCGCCGAGCTGCAGTTCCGGGGGTTTCCCAGCAGACGGCAGCACTGAGCGCCAAGACCTACGGTGAGCGCGCGGCTGGGGAGGGGGCAGCGTAAGTCCTCGGACGCCACACTCAAGATGGCGGCGGCGTGATTGGAAACGCTCGAGGCCACACTCAAGATGGCGACGCCCTCACCGGAAGTCTTCGCGGCCCACACTCAAGATGGCGACGCCCTCACCGGAAGACGCCGCGGCCCACACTCAAGATGGCGACGCCCTCACCGGAAGACGTTGCGGCCCACACTCAAGATGGCGACGCCCTCACCGGAAGTCGTCACGGCCCACACTCAAGATGGCGACGCCCTCACCGGAAGTCGTCACGGCCCACACTCAAGATGGCGACGCCCTCACCGGAAGTCGTCACGGCCCACACTCAAGATGGCGACACCCTCACCGGAAGACGCTGCGGCCCACACTCAAGATGGCGACGCCCTCACCGGAAGTCGTCACGGCCCAAACTCAAGATGACACCGCCCTCACCGGAACGTGCAGAGCCACAACAAAGATGGCGGCCAGCACGCGAGCAGTGGAGCGGACCGCGGGCGGCAGTCGTGGCGGCGGCCGCAAGCACCGGCGCGGGCAGGCTCCATTCGGAGACGCGGCACAGCCGTGAGGACGAGGACCCCTGAGCAAGCACAGGTCGGTGCCGGGGACTCTGCTCTCTCCCCCCTTTTTCCCTGCCCTGTCCCGCTCCGCTGCCGCCCACGCCCCGCCCCGCCCCGTCCCGCTCCCGGTCCCGTTCTGCTGCCGCTGCAATCCCCCCGCTCCCGGTCCCGCTCCCCTCCTTCCCCGCCCTCCCGTCCTGCGCCGCTGCTGCCCCTGCCCCGTCCCGCAGCGCCCGGCGATGGGGCGGGGCTGCGCCGCCGGCAGCCTCCCTGTCCTCCTGGAAACTGCACGCGGCCTGCGATGGCGAGGCTCCGCTTTTGCCGCGGCCAGCGGAGACTTCGGTCGGCCGATCGGCGCTCTGGGAGCACTGGAGGTCTTAGTGGGGCCCGGGGCCCGGCTGCAGTGCCGCTCCCGGCCGTGTCCGCCAGGCGGCGCCTGTGAGGCGGGGGGCAGCTCATGGGCAATTGTTCTGGTCCGGACAGGGCTAGGGGGCACCTCGCAGCTCTGCTTTGGGCTTGGGGGGTTATTTCTCTTGGCTTTTAAGACAGAGGGTTGTTTACCACGTCCCTCTTACTGCTTGCAATTCTTTCTTTTGCTGGTAGTGAATACATTTGAGAAGGCACGGGCTTCTAGGATTCAGTTGTTCAAAATGAGGGGATTCTCTTAGTGAGCAATTGGAGTCGTTCTCCAGTGCGGAGTGCAGAAGGAATTTTCTCTCAACTAATTGTTTCCTAATTTCTTTTCAAGCTCTGCTACGAACCCTCCACCGGAGCGCTTTGCCGCACTTGCCGTGGGGGCTGGAGTGAGAAGCAGCTGGAGGTGTTTGCTCTCTCTCTGCTCGGTCCCCGCCTTGCCCTCGGTTCCCTGGCCCCGCCGGTAATCGCAGCTCACCTTGGGTTTTCCGGGGCCCTTGCTGAAGGGTTTCTAAGTGTGGCCCTGAGATTTTCTGCAGGTGGAATGGATGGCTGTTTCAGAGCACTTGTCACTGGGCTGTCTGTGTTTTAACGCTTGCCAGGGTAGGAGAACTGCAGCAGGAAAAGGCTAATTGTTCATCTGAAGTTGTAAGCGAGTGCAGGAGAAATCCTAGGAAGGCACCTGGATGTGTATTTAGGTATTTAAGTACCTTTGGCTGGTAGAAACAATCCATGGGTGAGACAGAAATGGCTGGTGCTGGAGCATGTTTAAGAAGCCAGCATAGAGAGCTTCAGTCTTCTAAAATTAGACGAAGCAGTGAAGGATGATGATGGAGTAGAACATGTTGGTGTTTTCAGCTTTGGGACTTGACTTGCTCGTGGGAACAATCTGAATAAGGGATGTTCTTGCTGAGAATTCCCCCTGGTAGATCTTCCCCATCTAGGATTGTATCACGGACAGTGTTCTCAATAGGCTGGAGTTAAAGTTGTGAATCTTGGATTTGCAGTGCTCTGGAACTTGGATGTTTTGTAAAGTAGGAGAAATTGTGACTTTAGAAAGTGGAGGAGCTAGGCTCTATACATATAGCTCAAACAATCTCTTCCAACTGAAATAAGACACCAGTAAAGCTCATAGAAAAAAGATCATAGAATCACAGACTCATGGAATGCTTTGGGTTGGAAGGCACCTTAAAGCCCATCCAGTGCCTCCCCCTGCCGTGGGCAGGGACACCTTCCACTCTCCCAGGTTGCTCCAAGCCCCGTCCAGCCTGGCCTAGGACACTTCCAGGGATCCAGGGGCAGCCACAGCTTCTCTGGGCACCTGTCACAGGGAACAATTTCTTCCTGGTAGCTAATCTAAATCTCTCTATTGGCCTGACTTGGCACCAGCTTCAAAGCATTGAGTATATTCCTTTAGTCCTGAAAATAACGCTACAGTTCCTGGTAAGTTTTGTTGTTTCCCTGTTCTGGAAAAAAATCCCAACACAATAATTTCTTTTAGTCTTTGAACATACTTAAGGAAATAGTTTCATAGTCAGAAACTGTCTTTCGGGATCGAACTCAACTGCAGTGACATTTAAGCTGACACAGGTCATGTCCTTTGACCCTTGTTTGTTTGCACTGACAAGCAGCACTAGCGAAGTTCTCCTATTTTAATTTTTGATTAAGAGAAGTAAAATGTACTCTGCTGTTCATTCCAAATTCCAAATTCTTTTAAGGTCTAACAGGCAGACACCTCAAATGGAGCTGCCCAGGACCTTCTAAACCAACCCACCTTCAAAGATAAAACTTCCCAGCAGTCTCCAAGGTATTGGGAACCTTTATTTTGATTATTTTCATTGCACTGACATTGTCCTTTTATGCAAACTTAACTGTAGAACGACGATCATTTACTGAGAACCTAAAAGCTAAGCAAACAGAAGAGGGAAATGATTACAACAGAGACCAAAGATTTTCTGTTGCATGATGTCAATTCTTTACTTGGTGGATAAGAAATGGTAAATCTGTCTGTTTTTAATTGGGCCCAGCTCACGGATTTGCCTAGAGGAGTAACCAGGGAAGGTAGGTTGTGTGGGCTTTTCCGGTTGAACGTAGCACGTGGAATAAGAGTATAGGATGTGGCTTCAGGCTACGTCTCCAGTCTCTTTGAGAGGCCCAGCAGAGGACTGGCTCCCGCCTGGCACCGTGGCAGGAGCAGGGCCGTGCCGGGACGGGCCGTGGCCCAGCCAGCATAGAGGTGGTTCCTGCAGGGCAGTCAGATGGCAGCAGGAGTGGGTCGAGAGAAGTCAGAGTGGTCTGTAGTTGAGAGAGAAGGCGGGTGGATGCAGCAGAACTGACTTGTGTTTGTGTGAGAAATGCAGCAGGAAGGTGAAAGACCTGTTCGAAGACTCTCAGGTTGTTTGTTTTCTGGTAAGGGATGGATTCTGTGATGAAACTGCTCTTCTGAGTTACAAGCGAGGGTTGTGACATTGGTACAGTGGTGGCGCCACAGGGTCCACGCAGCATTAGGAGATCTCAGAAAAGGTGGATTCTTCTTGGGAGATATGTCATAGTCTTACCTAAATAATGGGGAACTAAAGCGGTCTCGTGCTCTCCAAGACGGAAACACCGCAGCAGACATCAGGAGAAAAAAAAAAAATGGACACCTTCCTGCTTTTTATTTCATCTACTCAAGCTGAAAATGTTAAACAGTCATTGTCAGCAGTTGGTACTGGACACAGTGGAATGTACAGTAACAAATGGGATCGATGGACAAGCACTTTCCTTCCTGGGCCTTTGGAAGCAATGACTGAGAGTGCCGCTCTGTTTCCTGAAGTGCCACATGAAGGCTGCACTTGTTCCTGGTTTGTGGACCCGAAACACTCAGCATTGAACAGACCTTGCTCCCCGGAGGTAATGACCTGGTCAGTCATGCAGCTGAAATACTAAGATTAAAGAAAAAATGAAGAGAAATTCCCAACACTCTTGTGCTTCAACCTCATGGAGACTTGCACTGCCCAGCCCTTTGCCCTTGATGTGGGCACCAAAGGCAGGAGGGAAGGTTGGTGAGCACCTACTAAAACTCGAACGGTACCTCTGGAAACAGAGAGAGACTCCGAAGTCAGTTGAGTCAATTGGAATATTGTACAGATGAGGAGATAGAGATAATCAGGGTTGCTTTTTTGTGGTAAAATCTTGGTAGCCTAGGGATGGAATGAATATTTTGGGCTTAAAATCAGAGGTAAACTGTAGGGGACAGAGTGTATATTTTGAGTGTAATACCTCAGATAGTCTTTTCCATAGAAGGGAAAGCATGTAGCCCCGTGATTGAAGGTGTAAATGACAGACTGTCAGCAGGTGAGTTGTCTTGAGGTTCCTAAGGCAGGCACTTGGGACTTTGGATGCTCCAGACAGAGAAGACCTCGGAAGCCCCTCGCGGAAGCCCCTTGCTGAAGCCCCTCAGAATCCTTATCAGGGTAGGTGTGTATGGTTATAAGTGCTGGGAAATGTCCTGAGCGTGGAACAGGAACGCAGGGAACAAAATGGACCCTCACATAATTCTGATCAAGAATCTTTGTATTTCTATGAAGGTATGACTCTATTTCAGAAATAATTGTATGTAGCATGGTGCTGGGGGGGGGGGGAGAAGGTGGAATGGATGGCTGTTTCAGAGCACTTGTCACTGGGCTGTCTGCGTTTTAACGCTTGCCAGGGCAGGAGAATTGCAGCAGGAGAAGGGTAATTATTCATCTGAAGTTGTAAGCGAGTGCAGGAGAAATCCTAGGAAGGCACCTGGATGTGTAGTTAGGTGTTGGAGTACCTTTGGCTGGTAGAAATAGCAGACGGGTTTTCTCTGTGGATCAGCTGCAGACAAAGTGGAGGGTGAACAATTGACTGCAACAATACATGGATGAGACAGAAAAGGCTGGTGCTGGAGCATGTTTAAGAAGCCAGCATAGGGAGCTTCAGTCTTCTAAAATTAGAGTCTGGAGGCGAGTGGAGTTCCTGCTCCACACCTCAGGACTAGTGAGGGATTTATCTTCCTCTGCTTCTCCTTTCTCCCTGTTTCCCTCCCCGCTCCGTCGTTCGGTCGGTTTGGATTTTTATTTTCGCCTGGTGTGGAGCACAGCCCTTTTGGAGCATTTGGGAGTTGAGAACTGCCTGGGTTCAGATCGAGTTGCAACCTGAACTCAGTTTATGAACTGCTCCGGGACCTCCCTCTTTGCCGTCTCGTTTTCTGTGGTCCATGCAGTAAGTCTATTCCTTAATTCCTAAACCTGCTTTGTTTTTTTTTTTTATCCTTTCCCTTCCCCTCTTGCAGAGGTGCTGAAGGTTTACCCCTCAGTCTGCTTTCTGACACTGTGTGGAATTTATCAAAGCTCAGTGGTGAGGCGATCTTAGGTTAAGAACACCCAAAAATGAAAAAAAGAGCAAAGGGCTTAGATTTGCACAGAAAGGAAACCAAAGGTGAAATGTGCTGCAGAGGCTGGGCAAGGAATTTCTGTGGCTTTGGGGTTTGAAACGGGAAGTAATGGGAGTGGCAGAGAATAATTCTCTTTTGTTATTGCTTTGGAAGCATTCACAGCTGCACCGCTCTGCTCCAAGGGCGGATGATGGTGACTGATGCAATCCTAACTAAAAGCACATAGGATTAAGCTAAATCTGAGCAGTTTCATTTAGTCCAGTCCCAGTGGGGAGAGAATGAAGGAGGAGGAATGCTTGGGGACTTTGGTAATTTTAATCTGGGCACTGCTGATTCTTGTGCTGGAGAGAGTTTAGTGACACATGAGGTCCTTGAGAGAATTCTTGGCTTATGGGTTCAATGAGCGGCCTCAAGCAGCTGTTAAAAATGTTTTCTCTTCAGTTCAGTTTCAGAGTTCTGTGATCCCGGCCTCATCTTGTCCACCTCACTTGGACTCCCCGGAGGAAAAGGTAGAAGAGAGTTACAGTAAGAATCACGCTTTTCAGCAGTTGGTTTCCATATGTTTATATGTTCAGCTTTTCTGTGGAGGGATGTCATCGCTTTCATCATATGCTTGAGGACAGTTTTTTTCCAGAAATGATTATATGTAGGCCAGGATTTCACTGGAGTGTCATCAGCTCCTTGGGAATTGCTTGAAGGTAGGATTGAACTTTATTCTGCACTTCCTGTCCTTTCCCCCTGCAGCCGAAGCGTCGGCTCTGGGTCGTGCAGGACTACAGCTGCCAAGGCCAAGCTCTGAGAGTGGGAGAACTTCCTCTTCAAGAGTTTGATTTTCTTTGGCATCCCTCAGAATTTCCATCATATTTGGTATGGAATCCCTCAGAGGGGTTTATCTCCACATAAGCCCTGAATATGCCAGTAGGTTTCAGCTGGGAGAAAGGAGCTTCCGGTTTTTCCATCTGACGTGTCACGGGCTGGTTTAAAGTTTTTAGCTAAAATCTCAGCCAGCTGTTCCCAGAGCTCAGGTTAAAGGACGATTGCCACACTCAGCTCAGCTCAGCTCACTTCTGCAGCACTTTATCAGGAAGGCTGGCAAGCCACAGGATTTCAGCTGCCTTAGGCTGGGGAACAAGCCCCTGTTTTAGAAGCTTTCAGGCAACTACTCAAATGGAGTTTTCCTGAGATCCAGCCTGTCCATGGCAGCTTCCCATCCATCCTGGGAAACTGGGCAGGGACCCCACTAAATGCCCTCTGCGCTGGGCACAGCTTTTCTCCCTGGAGAGGTGCTCCAGCAGCACTTGGCAGTGAGCGCTGGGGGTTAATCCATAGGAATAGTTACATCCGTGATCACTGCCGGGCTCTTTGCAGGCCTGAATTTCCCACTAATGGGAGATGAGCCTCTGGAATTGTCCCTTCCAGCACAGCAGCTGAGGTTTGTGCCAGCCCATGTGGGAATGGATTGATCCTGATTGTTGGACTCTGGAGTCTCTTAAGAGCTGGATTATGGAAAACAGAGAAGAAAATGGATAAACCCCTCAGTGTGACCCGGTGACTTTTGGGCAGGCCTTGGGAATTTGCAGAGGGTGCATTCTGGGAGAGGAGCCACTGCTTCCCTTCCCAGCAAACGACGGGAAAGGCAACCCAGAGTGTGAGGCTTGGGAAGGAATTGGCACCACGCCTGGAAATGTTTCCAGTGCTGCTGTTTCTTTTTTCCCACTCTTGGCCAAGGCTGGGTATGCCGTTGGTTCCCAGAGTGAGGGAGGTTTTCCTGGATTGTAGGGATTGCACTGGACAAGTCTCCTGGGTGTTTGGGGGCTGTGTGGTCTCTTTTCTCCTGAATGGAAGAGGGGGGGAAGTGGGACAGTCCCGATAGTGGCAGAGACACGGGAACAGCCCACTTCCAGGGAGGACTGCGTTGCCGAGCTTGTGGTTTGCACCCTGAGGTGGTCTTTCCTGTTACTTCTACTTTTGAGCCTGTTGAAATGCTGGTGTAGATTTGGGAAGAGCCAAGTAAGCTGGAGCTGTGAGGTTCTTCCTGCCCGAAATCCATGGTGATGTTTTGCCTGGCTTTCCCAAGTGGACGCAAGAGCCTTGGAGTCGTTGCATCCCCTGGAAAACCAGGTCAGGAGGGTTCGTCTGACTCTGCCCTGACCTGTGGCTTCCAGGGAGCCTCCTGCTGTTCTGGATCTTCCTGGGAGAGGACATTCCCATGCCTGCTTTTTAGACAAGAAATCCCAAATGCAGTAAGTCAGTCCCATCCTGTCTGAGCTGTGCCAGTGGTGAGGTGTGAGGGGGAATGCCCCGTTCTGCACTTTGAGACATTGACTACCTCTTGACTACCTCAAGTTTACTGTCAAAACCTTCCCCTCTTGTCCACCGCTGCGTGCCTCATAATTACCTCCAGGTCTTCATTCTCTACTGTGGAGATGACGTTTTACTCCCAGAAGATGAAGTTTTACTCCCAGATTTTCCCTGCGTGTCCACATCTGATTAGCCCAGTTTTACCTCATGATGTACATTCTCTCTCCTACAGATTACCTCAGATTTTACCCACAAAAAATTTTCCCTACCTTCCCATTACTGACTGCCTCAGTTTACCTCAAAGTGGTCATTCTCTCCTCTTCAGATTAGATCAAGTTTTACCCCCCAAATTTTCCTTCCTCTATGTTCTCATCACTTTTTTTATCCACACCCAGCACAGCCCACCTTGGGGAAGGTCCAGCTGCTCATTCCCAACCACAAGCAAACATCCAGTGCCAGTGTCTGTCAGCCCCTGCTCCCTCTGCCCTGGACCCCTGGCACCCCTGGATTGACTCGGTGCCCACAAACCGCTAATGCCACCATCAGGTTTCTCTGCCCACCAAGGGCACACCACCCAGGAGGGACATTTCTCCCCGTCTCCCCCACGGACCTCCACATCCAATTCAGGGAGCACCAACTTAGTTCTGGGCTGGGAAATAAGGGAGTGACAAGAAACGTATTTAAATCATTCCAGCCTCAGTGGTGCCCAGGCCTGGGAGAAAGACCTTGGCACCACCCTCTTGGATTCTTCTTTCCTCTCACTTGCCTTGCTCCCAGCTTTGGAAGGTTTGTCTCAGGCTGCGTTTCATGGCTGTTCAGGGCAGACATCTGGTGGCCAGCCTGGTGCTGATAGCTGGACAGAGCAAAGCTGGCACTAGACAAGCAGTGACTTCCATATTTGTGCTTCACTTAAAAAGCAAACACCTCTGTGCTGTTTGACAGCTCATCTTCACAAAGATGCAAAGGCTTTTCCCCTCAGGGTAGCAATTCTTCCCAGAAAAAGAGTTATTGTGTCATGATGTTTTACCTAATTATTCTACTGGAACTCATTTCTTCTCTCCTTCAAGCTTCAGGGACTTGCTGGTGCTGGGTGTGCATCAGAGGAAGCGCTGGGGGGGTGGAATACCCAGCCCGAGTTACGCCTGCAAGTGCACATCCACCCCGGGGTCAGAGTCAGAGAGGTTTCCTGCACACCAAACACCACAGCCCCAGGCACCAGGAGCCTGCAGGTGCTCTGCATTGCAATCCACAGCCTCCCTCAATCCTGCACGGGAAAGCAAAGGGATTTTTCCTCCTGAGGGAGGAAAACACACAACAGCAAGTGCTGTCCCAGCTGAGCTGGCCCTTGTGGGCAGCTGCATCACTGAACAGGAGAATCCATCCTGGCTCACTCTGTTCTTGTAAAACAGTGCCCACCCTGTGGGTCTGGGCTCTAAAAGCTCCATTTAGGTCAGCAGAAAGCTCTCTGGCTGGGGCAATTCACTGAATTGACTGGTAGGTCCTGAAATCTCTTTCCAAGTGCATGAAAAGCCAAAGGACAAGGTGCTGCAAGCAGAGGTTCCCTGAACTGCAGGGAAATGGCCCTGAGTGTGGCTTTGGGCTGCTGCCCCCGCTGCACACTGTGCTCTCCAGAGCAGTAAAAAGCTTTGCCTCTCTTTTACACACGTCCGGGAAAAAAAACCACACTCCTGCTGGAGAAGTCTTGGGTTTTCCTTTGGCATTAACTGAACTGGCACAGCTCAAAGCGATGCCATGAAATTCTCCATCTCCAAAATCCAGGTTCTCCTTTGCCGTGGGGTTTTTGCCGTGCCACAGTCCAGAGGGACCTCTGGCAGCTGCACTGCCCAAGAGCTGCCTGCTGGGAAACTTGCCACCCTTGGGAGGGAGACAGAAATAAAGTAATTCAGGGCACTACCAGCAAGTGTTGGATAAAAATACCGTAACATTCCTCCATGCCCCCTTTGTAAACAAGCACTAAACTGCTTAACTACACTTTCAGTTGAACCAGTTCGAGTCCATTGGTAAATAATACAATGTTAACTTTTGTTTTGTTTTAAGTTTCAGGGGAAAGGACAAGACTGAAGCAGTGACCCAGCAAAATAAAACTCAGGGCTCATCGGCACTACTTCTAAGGGTGCTGCCGCTCCATGGGAAAGGCTGGGAAAGCCTCGGAAGCGATGCTGCCTTGTCCCTTTCTGTCGCAGTCCCTTGCGGGCCCTGGCCTGCCCTAGACACAGGGGCTGCTCGAGGCAGCGCCCGGCCGCCAATCCTGGCCCGTCTTTCTCGGTGCCGTCCAATCACAGCCCTCCCTTTCAATCCGGCAGCGGTGGCTGTGTCCAATACGGTTGTGGGGACGGCGCTGCCGGGAACCGGGGTTGCCTGGGCCAGTCCGGGGTGGCGGCGCTATGCGGACCGCAAGCTATAAAGGGCGTGGGCGGGGGGGCCGCGGGGCTGGAGGCGGCGGAGGAGGCTCCGGATCCGGGCTGGGGAGCGGCGGTGAGCTAGGACGGGACTCTGGGGCGTGTGCTCCCACCACTCCCAGTATTCCCTTCAGGCGCAGGTCCCCGCGTCTGTGCTGACGGAGCCGCGCCTGCGCTGCCGCAGCCCCCGAGCGGTCCTGTTCAGAGCTGGGAGGGCGGGTGGCACAGCTCCTACGTCACGTCCCGTTCGGGAGTTCTTTCGGGAGAGGGGGAGAGGCAGTTCTGGCCGCTAAGCCGCGGCGCGGAGCCGCCGCTCTCTACACCTCGTTCTCCGAATGGGGGGGGCGAAGCGCTAAGGGGAAAGCGCTGTACGGGGCGACGAACAACGGAGGGAACGGGAAAGGCGGGGACTCGCGGGGCCGGGCGCCGCCTGCGGCCGTGATTGGCTGGGCCGGCCCGGGGAGGGGGGCGGAAACAGGCAAGGCGGGGATTGGCTGGACCGGGCACCACCTGAAACCGTGATTGGCTGAACCGGCCCGGGGAGGGCGGGGCTATGTGGGGCGTCCATTATAAAGAGGGCCGTCGGAAGGCCCCGGAGGCAGTTCGGCGGCGCAGAGGAAGACAGCGGAAGACCTTCGGCAGCCGGAGCGGGATCGGCGCTGCTGCTGGGCTGAAGAGCGGCGGTGAGCCGGGTCGAGGCTCTCGCAGCTGCAACTCCAGAGAGCGGCGGGGAGTCCTGGCACAGCATCCACCTGAGCTGCCGATCTACGAAGAGCCAGTACGTGCGTGCAGCACTGCGGAGCGGCAGGTGGGAAAGACGCCTCGCTACTGCTGAGAGAGCAGGGCAGGCAGTGGAATAAAGCTTGTGGGCGAAAGCTAAAAGAGCTGAAATCACGGGGGGTGGGCTGGGACAGGGACAGGTTAGGGGGCTGTAGCACCGGGGGCGGACCGGTGGTGGGACTGAGGCAGGGGCTGCTGGCGCCGTCACTGAAATCACTGCACTTCTGGGACAGAAGGGGGGGGGAAAGGCGGACGGGGATGGGGTGGAGGTTGCGTCTCTGTAGCTGGGAATGCGCCTTGTCCTCTGTTCTCGGGGGGGGAGGGCGCTGGGTTCTGTGTACTCATGGGGGAGAGCGCCGTGTTCTCTGCTTGGGGGGGAGAGCGCTGTGTCCTCTGTGCTAATGGAATAGGGCAGCTGTATTTGGCTGGGGGGGGAATGCGCCGTGTGCTCTGTGCTTTGGGGGGAGAGCGCCGTGTTCTCTGTGCTTGGGGGGGAGAGCGCCATGTCCTCTGTGCTCGGGGTGGGAGAGCGCCGTGCTCAGTGTACTCGGGGAGGGGGAAGAGCGCCGTGTTTTCTGTGCTCATGAAATGGGGTAGCTGGTCTGTGCTGGGGGGGGAAATGCGCCGTGTCCTCTGTGCTTGGGGGGGAGAGCGCCGTGTCCTCTGTGCTAATGGAATAGGGCAACTGTATTTGGCTAGGGGGGGAATGCGCCGTGTCCTCTGTGCTTAGGGGGGAGAGCGCCGTGTTGTCTGTACTGGGGGGGGCAGGGAGTGCCGTGTTGTTTGTAGTCGGGTGGGGGGGTAGCACCGTGTTCTCTGTGCTTGGGGAGGAGAGCGCCGTGTTCTTTGTACTCGGGTGGGGGTATAGCGCCGTGTCCTATGTTCTCGGGGGGAAGGGCGCTGGGTTCTGTGTGCTTGCGGGGGGGAGTGCGCCGTGTTCCCTGTGCTTGGGGGGGAGAGCGCCGTGTCCTGTGTTCTCGGGGAGGGAGAGCGCCGTGTTCAGTGTACTCGGGGAGGGAGAAGAGCGCCGTGTTTTCTGTGCTCATGAAATGGGGCAGGTGGTCTGTGCTGGGGGGGGGCTAGCGCCGTGTCCTCTGTGCTTGGGGAGGAGAGCGCCGTGTCCTCTGTATTCGGGGGTAGAGCGCCGTGTCGTCTGTGCTCGGGATGGCGGGGGTAAAGCGCTAAGGGGGAAGTGGCGTACATAGCGACGAGCACAGAGGGAACGGGAAAGGCGGGGACTCCCGGGGCCGGGCGCTGCCTGGGGCCGTGATTGGTTGGGCCGACCCGGGGGAGGCGGGGCTATGTGGGGCGTCCACTATAAAGAGGGCCGTCGGAAGGCCCCGGAGGCAGTTCGGCGGCGCAGAGGAAGACAGCGGAAGACCTTCGGCAGCCGGAGCGGGATCGGCGCTGCTGCTGGGCTGAAGAGCGGCGGTGAGCCGGGTCGAGGCTCTCGCAGCTGCAACTCCAGAGAGCGGCGGGGAGTCCTGGCGCAGCATCCACCTGAGCTGCCGATCTACGAAGAGCCAGTACGTGCGTGCAGCACTGCGGAGCGGCAGGTGGGAAAGACGCCTCGCTACTGCTGAGAGAGCAGGGCAGGCAGTGGAATAAAGCTTGTGGGCGAAAGCTAAAAGAGCTGAAATCACGGGGGGTGGGCTGGGACAGGGACAGGTTAGGGGGCTGTAGCACCGGAGGCAAAGCGGTGGTGGGACTGAGGCAGGGGCTGCTGGCGCCGTCACTGAAATCACTGCACTTCTGGGACAGAAAGGGGGGGGAAAGGCGGACGGGGATGGGGTGAAGGTTGCGTCTCTGTAGCTGGGAATGCGCCTTGTCCTCTGTTCTCGGGGGGGGAGGGCGCTGGGTTCTGTGTACTCATGGGGGGAGAGTGCCGTGTCCTCTGTGCTAATGGAATAGGGCAGCTGTATTTGGCTGGGGGGGGAGAGCGCCGTGCGCTCTGTACTCGGGGTGGGAGAGCGCCGTGCTCAGTGTACTCGGGGAGGGGGAAGAGCGCCGTGTTTTCTGTGCTCATGAAATGGGGCAGCTGGTCTGTGCTGGGGGGAAAGCGCCGTGTCCTCTGTGCTTGGGGGGGAGAGCGCCGTGTCCTCCTTGCTAATGGAATAGGGCAACTGTATTTGGCTAGGGGGGGAATGCGCCGTGTCCTCTGTGCTTAGGGGGGAGAGCGCCGTGTTGTCTGTACTGGGGGGGCCAGGGAGTGCCGTGTTGTTTGTAGTCGGGTGGGGGGGTAGCACCGTGTTCTCTGTGCTTGGGCAGGAGAGCGCCGTGTTCTTTGTACTCGGGTGGGGGTATAGCGCCGTGTCCTATGTTCTCGGGGGGAAGGGCGCTGGGTTCTGTGTACTCGCACGGGGGAATGCGCCGTGTTCCCTGTGCTTGGGGGGGAGAGCGCCGTGTCCTCTGTTCTCGGGGAGGGAGAGCGCCGTGTTCAGTGTACTCGGGGAGGGAGAAGAGCGCCGTGTTTTCTGTGCTCATGAAATGGGGCAGGTGGTCTGTGCTGGGGGGGGGCTAGCGCCGTGTCCTCTGTGCTTGGGGAGGAGAGCGCCGTGTCCTCTGTGCTCGGGATGGCGGGGGTAAAGCGCTAAGGGGGAAGCGGCGTACATAGCGACGAGCACAGAGGGAACGGGAAAGGCGGGGACTCCCGGGGCCGGGCGCTGCCTGGGGCCGTGATTGGCTGGGCCGGCCCGGGGGGAGCGGGAACAGGCAAGGCAGGGATTGGCTGGACCGGGCGCCACCTGGGACCGTGATTGGTTGGGCCGACCCGGGGGGGCGGGGCTATGTGGGGCGTCCACTATAAAGAGGGCCGTCGGAAGGCCCCGGAGGCAGTTTGGCGGCGCAGAGGAAGACAGCGGAAGACCTTCGGCAGCCGGAGCGGGATCGGCGCTGCTGCTGGGCTGAAGAGCGGCGGTGAGCCGGGTCGAGGCTCTCGCAGCTGCAACTCCAGAGAGCGGCGGGGAGTCCTGGCGCAGCATCCACCTGAGCTGCCGATCTACGAAGAGCCAGTACGTGCGTGCAGCACTGCGGAGCGGCAGGTGGGAAAGACGCCTCGCTACTGCTGAGAGAGCAGGGCAGGCAGTGGAATAAAGCTTGTGGGCGAAAGCTAAAAGAGCTGAAATCACGGGGGGTGGGCTGGGACAGGGACAGGTTAGGGGGCTGTAGCACCAGGGGCAAAACGGTGGTGGGACTGAGGCAGGGGCTGCTGGCGCCGTCACTGAAATCGCTGCATTTCTGGGACAGAAGGGGGGGGTGGGAAAAGGCGGACGGGGATGGGGTGGAGGTTGCGTCTCTGTAGCTGGGAATGCGCCTTGTCCTCTGTTCTCGGGGGGGAGGGCGCTGGGTTCTGTGTACTCATGGGGGGGGAGAGCGCCGTGTTCTCTGTGCTAATGGAATAGGGCAGCTGTATTTGGCTGGGGGGGGAATGCGCCGTGTGCTCTGTGCTTTGGGAGAGCGCCGTGTTCTCTGTGCTTGGGGAGCGCCATGTCCTCTGTGCTCGGGGGGAGAGCGCCGTGCTCAGTGTACTCGGGAGGGGAAGAGTGCCGTGTTTTCTGTGCTCATGAAATGGGGCAGCTGGTCTGTGCTGGGGGGGGAAATGCACCTCATCCTCTGTGCTTGGGGGGGAGAGCGCCGTGTCCTCCTTGCTAATGGAATAGGGCAACTGTATTTGGCTAGGGGGGGAATGCGCCGTGTCCTCTGCTTAGGGGGGAGAGCGCCGTGTTGTCTGTACTTGGGCAGGGAGTGCCGTGTTGTTTGTAGTCGGGTGGGGGGGTAGCACCGTGTTCTCTGTGCTTGGGGAGGAGAGTGCCGTGTTCTTTGTACTCAGGTGGGGGTATAGCGCCGTGTCCTATGTTCTCGGGGGGAAGGGCGCTGGGTTCTGTGTACTTGCGGGGGGGAGTGCGCCGTGTTCCCTGTGTTTGGG